CTTAGTTAGCTATTTAACTTTTTTAAGCCTCAAATTTTCCTCTTATGTAAAATAAGGTTAATGATAAGGATCTGTAGAATAATGAAGTAATGTATACAAGAGTATTTTATTGAGGGGAGTGATAAATTTTCTATCATGGTTATGTGAAGTCTAGTATACATGTTTTCTAACTGTCAGAAAGCATTTGAGGAATTTCTTAGCCATTACACAATGTTTGGTGGCTTTGAAACAAATATCTGGCCACATTCCTTGATTTTTATTTTTTTTTTCCATAGAAGCCAGAGAAACTGAACTGGTTGCTGTGAATGTGATTCATTTATATTCACAAAAGGTTGAAGAAAGGGGGCATGTATGTTACATGCAATTTGCTTACTTCCTGGAAACTAGTAGGCACTCAGTGCATGGTTATAGTTACTATTATGATCATAGCAGGTAGGAGGAAACCTTTTTTGGGATAACTGTTTTAATTGATCTTCCAAACCATCATTCTTTCAAAGGGTATTTATCAGTACTATTAATAAGTAATACCTTACTAATGGATAGTCTTTTTACTGACACATGTGTTATTTTCTTTAGTCCTGAAAATAACCCTGTGATTATTCTTGTTTAACATTATTTCTCATTTATAATGAGCTGAGACTCAAAGATAGAATGATCATATAATTTCTTATTTAAACTGAATGCTTTGGGAGTGAAAGGGCACTAAATTGGGATTGTCCCAGGCAAACCAGGATGTTTGTTTACCTTAATCAGGCAATTTATGACTGTTCCAAAGCTACCTCGCTTGAAAAGTGACAGATTTTAGAAGGCAAATGTTCTTTTTCTTTTTTTTTTTAAAGATTTTATTATTTGAGACAGAGAGAATGAGAGACAGAGAGCATGAGAGGGAGGAGGGTGAGAGGGAGAAGCAGACTCCCTGCCGAGCAGGGAGCCCGATGCGGGACTCGATCCCGGGACTCCAGGATCATGACCTGAGCCAAAGGCAGTCGCTTAACCAACTGAGCCACCCAGGCGCCCTAGAAGGCAAATGTTCTAATGACTCTATGTAAGACTTTACTAGAATTTCCCGGGAATGGTATGATGTAGGAAATTAGCCCCTTCCAGTCTGCGCGATTATCACCATGAACAAGTACAGATAAAGCTGTCACATCAAGTAGGTCCTAACCTGTCTTGCTAATGTGCTGGGCTAGCCATAAGGACAGGGATTGCAATTGTAAGATGAGATTTCCCACTCTTTTCTTAAGTGATTCATTTATTCATTTGTCTAACAAACCTGTATTGAATACTCACAGAATCATTTATCTATTGCTGTGTAACAAAATACCCCCAAAATCAATGGCTTAAAACAACAAGAATTTTATTTGCTCATGGTTCTTTGAGTCTGCACTTTGACTGGGCTCAGCTGGGTGGTTCATCTCTTGGGTCTCACTTGGCGCCACTCATGTGGCTGCTTTCATCAATGGCAGCCCGGGAGGGGCTGGATGGCCTCCGAGAGCCTCGCTCACTTATCTAGCAATTGGGTCTCCCTGTCAACTGGTTGGTGAAAGGAGCCTCAGCTGGAATGGCTCCTCATCATTGTTCTTGTGGCTTCTCATCCTCAAAGATGCTAGCCCAGGCTTCTTCACAAGGTGGCAGCATCACTTCATAACAAAAGCAGATGCTTCTTGGCCTCCGGAGGCCTTGGCTCTGAACTAGCACACTGTAATTCTGCCTCATTCTATTGGTCAGGACAAGTTATAAAGTCAACCTGGATTAAAGGGGTGGGGAAAGCAACTCTACCTCTGGATGATAGGAACAGCAAAGAGGAGGGTGGTACATACACAGATTGAAGGAATTTATAATTAGTTTTTGCAATCTATTTTAATCATTATTCATCAAGTCTTATCCTAGGCAGTGAAGACATGAAAATTGATAATGAGCGCTCATTTGCAGGGGAGAAGTAGGCAAGGAGACAACAATTGCAATGGAAGGTGCACCTTTGACAGAAGGGTGTGTATGGCGTTGTGGAAGCACAGGAATAGAATTAGCTAAATCAAAATGGCAAACTACTGTCAGAAAAGTGGTCCTCTGGGCCTGAGAGTTTATTTTCATCATGCTTATCATCTTATCCAAGGCTCAGGGGTCAGACTTTAAGGCCCTGGAATGGTTTCTTTGTCCTGATCATTTCCTCCAGCCACCACTTAGAGATTTGAGGGTGAATTGGTAAGAGAATGAGAAGGTATTATGGGATAAATGTTTGTGTCTATATCCTCCCCCCCTACCCCCCCATTCACATGTTGAAACCCTATCCAGCCTGTCAATGAGATGCTATTAGCACCTGGAGCCTTTGGGGAGTAGTTAAAATTAGATGAGGTCAGGAGGGTGGAGCTCTTATGCATGGGATTAGCGTCCTTAGAATAGTCAGGAGAGAGCTTGCTTCCTTTCTTTGCTCTCTAGGATGAGAGGATACAGCAATTTGGCAGTCTGCAAGTCGGAAGAGGGCCCTCAGCAGAACCTGACCATGCTGGTATCCTGATCTCAGACTTCCCCTAGGCTTCACAACTGTGAGAAATAAATGTTGGTTCTTTATAAGCCACCCACCTATGGTAGTTTGTTATAGCAGTCCACACTGATGAAGAGAGAGTACAAGGAGATCAGTGGAGGGGGGAGGGGGGGCTTTTAGATGTTCTTTACCCATTTACAAATGGGTACAAGAAAATGAAGCATTGCATAGGAATGAAGGGAAGGTCTTTTTTTTAACTACCAGTGCCTTCAACTCTAACGCTGCTTTAAAGGTTTTGGAATTCTGAATTCGGTTTACATATATGATACCAGAATATTCAAAAGATACAAGAGACTTTTTATCCAAACCATGTCTGGGAGTAGTCAACGTGCTGGCAGTCTGGCATTTGACCTGCATACCCTCAATTCAACATCAAAAAAGTAAGGTCAAGTTAGGGATATTTGGTGAGTAAGTTCATCTCTAGCCAGGAAGCATTAGATTGAAGGAGGGAAAAAAAAAAAAAAAAAAACCTTGCTAGATAATAAAGCCAGTTAGATTTATTGTATATATGACATTAGGGAATTCCTTTAATCACATATTCTCAAGTGCCTTTGGGAACTTGGACGATAATAAAGTGTATGCTGAGAGGAATCAGTGACAGTGTTCTCCCCAAGGAGAAAAAATGATACTGAGGCTCATCATTCCTGTGTTTCTTGAGGGGCTCAGAAGAGCAAATCTCACAGCTGCCCACAACATGGCTAAGTGGAGCACTGGACTGGAACCTGCTTAGGAAAACTGTTCTGAGCCCTGGCTAGTTCTGTCCTGGAAAAGTCAGTTTTGTACTGGTTTATGTAACAGGATAAGGTAGCACAGGGGACTCAGAGAAAGCTGAATTGGAGCTCTCCTCCTGAGTCAGGCAATCATTATGAGCCCTACCTTTGGATCTCTGGGTGACTTTGTGATTTGTGTCACTGGTCCTAGTAAAGGGGACCAGACCGAGGTCAGAGGGAGTTCCAGATGGATGGGTCCAAACTATACCAGTGAGTGGCCCAGATGGCTCTCGTAATCAAATTAAGTGCTGGGCTACCAATCACTGAGTGTATATTTAGCACCTATTATGTGCTCAACATTGTGAGACTACAGAGGAAATATAAGACCAGTTTCTTGTGTCGTTTGAGTCTGCGGTCTTATTATGAGATAGAAGAGGATGAGAGGACAGGTAACAAAAGTCAGCTTCTATTTCCATTTCGGTGAAGCTGTGTAACATCAAACATATGGGGAAAATGATGCATGTGTTTATAAAAATATGCCTTAAGAATCTTTCCTTTATATGTGGTACATCACACAATTACAGAGAAGCTATTAAAATATGGTCGAATATGATTTCCATTGATGAAGAGGTGTAGTAGAGAGACCTGTTAACAAGCAGGATAAAATCAGTGCCACGAGGTCTCCGAGTGTCATTTGTTACCCTTGCCTCATTAATGACAGGCAATGATAATAGGCAACCTATGTTGAGTACTAGGTGCTGTGCATTCTTCAAAGTATTTCACATTCATTATCTAATTTAATCCCGTTAAAACCCTCTGAGATAGTTGCTGTCACTATTCCCAGGATCCGGGAACAAGTAACATGCTCAAGGTCACATAGCCAGGAAGTATGACAGGATGCCAGACTTGGGATGATCAAGAGTTTGGGTGACAGTCACAGAGGCATCTGGCCCTGTTCTTGGGAAGGGAAACTGACTCCAGTTAACTGAAGCAGAAAAGGAATGCATTGGAAAGGATATCAGGGATTTCATAGAATAGCCAGGAAATCTTGAGAACAAGGCTCAAAAAATAGGCAGGAGCCAAAGGATACTTGGCGGCAAATTCTGTAGAGAATGCCACAGAATAGTCAATTTGGGAAGCTACTGTTGAAGCTGCTGCCAGTGGCTACTTGCCCCTGGATCTCTGGACAGTCCACCCACAACTAGTGCCAATAACCACTCTTGGCCCCTCCATCTCCATGTTGAGTCTGGGTCACGTGCCTATTACCCAGCATCCGGGAGGAGAGAAAGGAATTACCTGTCTCTCTTCACCTTGATTTCCCCTCCTTTGGAATTGCCCTCGAATGTTTGTGTGCTGGGTAGGCCAATGGACACATACCTGACACATGCCCGCTTCAGGCCTCCCCATCATGTGACTGTATGCTGCTTGGAATGCCCACACCGATCCCTGTCCACAGCCCCTGACACTGAGATTTCCTGCTTCACAATGACTATTGCTGGTTTCCGTCATCAGCATCACTGTTCACATAACCCTGCCCTTGCCTTTGCTCTGACTCCGGGCCCCCGTGGGAGTCCCACTGCTCCTGTGGCTGTTGCAGGAGCCATCTCATGGTGAAAGAGTTTTTCCTTCCTGGGAATTATGTGTTGACTCAATCAATCTTAGATAGTTAGGCTTTAAGTCTCCTTTGGCTCAGGAATTGGAAGGAGAACATTTGAGTGATCACTTTCAACCTCGAAAGTGTTCCAAAAAGCTTTGCACAGTGGCAGTATCGTAGCCAATGAGGTTTATCCGAGGCGTGATTATTGCTAATTGAAAGTATTCAAAAGTTTAACGAATTCAATACAGTTCAACAAATAATGATAAAGCACCTCGTAAGTACCAGCTCTTTGTTAGTAACTGGGGATATAGAGAGGAATAGGTACAGTCTCTAATGTCAGGGACTGTGCAGTTGAGTTATGAAAACAAATACGGATTTTTAATGTAGCTGTCTTTACTTAGTCAGCCCTCTTGTTACCTCTGAAATCTCTCTTGGTTAAAAGATCTTACCAGAAAGCAAACGTAGTGGCACATATTAATGAGTGCTTACTATATGTCAGCCAGGGTCCTAAATGCTTTGCATTTAACTGATAATTACTGCAACAACCTTTTGAGAGATCATTATCCCCATCTTACAGATGAGAAAGCTAAAGCACAGAGAGATTAAGGAATTTATTAAATAGCTGGTAAGTGGTGGAGCTAGGTTTTAAGCTCCAACACCCTTGCGCCTAATTTTATGCTACATTATCTGTCGCTCTAATGATATCTCTCTGAAAACTGTGTTCTTTCTATTGGTAGAAAAAAACCCAGATCCTGAAGTTGTTCTTTCTTACCGCTTTAGACTCATTTCCTTGTTTTCTAAATCATCTACTAACCAGCATGCATATTTAAAAATTTACTACATATTTAAAAATTACTTTTTAGATCTATTAATTTGAATTGATGTATTGCCAAAAATCTCTAAATAAAAAGATAGCAGTCTGCTGTACCATCAGCAATTGGCCTCATTAGAACAACAACAAAGATCTCTATTATGATTCCTGCCACCCCATGATGCTTAGCAAAGTGTTGGATATAAAGTAGATGCTCAATAAAAGCTTTTTGATCCAGTGATTATATATGCAGGGGTACGCAGCTAATACATTCTATGAAACCAGGCCTCTCCTCAGCCCCTTGGGATTGAAACTTACAGAAGTTGTTAGAAGGATGAAGTGAAAGAAGTAGTTTGAATGTGATGCTTGGCAGCTGGATGATCCTGCTTCCCGTTGGGTGTCTTGTTTTGGAAAAGTGAAGACCACCCACAAAGGGTCACTGGGCAAATGCCCAAATTCTGAGTGAGATAGAGTGACCTTGGATGGAATTAATCTTATGTAAGCAGGACCACACTCATTAATCATTCACAATAAGCTCTTATTTATGAACTAATTTCAAATAGACACATTGAATCCATTTTCCCAAGCAAAAATGTAGTTGAGTAAATCACAAATAGCTAAATTATAGTTTTGGCACATGTACGCCATTTTTTTTTCATATTTGGAATTATTTGCCTCCTAGAGTAACCTAATACATTGGGAACACTCTGCACAAAACTATAGAGAATGAGTGTTTATAGAGACTTACATCTGATTTACATTTAAGGAACATAAAACTAATTGCAGAGAGACAGCTACTAAAACATTAAACCTAGGAGACAGCTACATATGAACGCTTGTAAGAATGCCTATATGACTCCTCGAAATTGAGACCTTCGAAATTAATTTCCACTACTAGAAATAAGGGTATCTTAAAATGTCCTCAGTGGACACAGATATATTGTAAACGATTCCAGACAAAGTAGCTGTTATATGAGAACATCTTTCTAATATGAGATTAAAATCTGGAATTGCAAGTGGTAATAAATATATCCATCTATATTAGTACAAAAAGAAGTGACAGTATTTTCAGAGCAATAAGCAGGTAGACAGCTAATGGTCAGTGCCTACGATAAATTGCCTTGTCGTTATTGTAGTCTCTTTGATTTTCACTAAATAGCCTAATTTTTCTTTTTCCTATTACTGCATATGTATATGAAGAAAAAATTCCCCTCCAATGATATTATTTTTTAAGCCATCTGAAATAAAATGCCTAAAAAAAATACCCTTCCAAACTTCCGTTATGGAAGTTAGCACACCTAGTAGTCTTTTATGATGCAAAATTCTCTAACTTGGAAATTATATATTGCTTTAATATTTTCATTTTCAAACATTTTGGAGCCTTCTTTTAGTAGTAGTTTCATGTAGCAACAGTTACTCTGAAAAGTAATAAAAGTAATATTTTTATGTGTTGAGAGTGTTATATTATTCATCAACTCCCATGTACTGTGCATAACCCTTTAAATCATTTGCATCCATGTGTGTATGCTGTGTATGTGTATGCACACACATAATGACCTGTTTTCTCTGAGTGCTGTTTGTGGGTTTGCTGTTTTGTCATGTCTTTGCTGTGATGTTGTCTGTGAAGGTTTAAACGAAATTTATAGCATGCATCATGTATTGTAAGTTTGTCTGTCATATAATAATCAGCATGCAAAAAAAGCCACATATTTGGGCTGTATATTTAAGCCTTGTAAGTAATCATATACAAAACAATGCAAAAATGTGAACATTGTATGGCAATTAATAACATCTCTGCCAGTGTAAATACGTTTTTTTCCCCATAAATCATTTCCAGCTTGTCAAAATGGATCTGTGCTGGCAAAGAAACAGGGTAATGTTTCAATTTTCTCCATCTGGCAAGAAATTTTCTGTTAGATTTCCTCCTTCCCTTTTTCAGTTACAGAATTTATATGAGCAACTACATATAGTATGATTAAGAAAGGGTGCGGTGTGGTAGGATACAGAACAATGCTGAATATTAGGAGCTTGACTCTGAATAACTGCCCCAAATTGTACATTCATGTCACATGTGCATATAACAGAAAATATTTGGTTGTTGAAGCATAAAAATGATTCCCTTTGTAGCAAAACATTGCTCTCATTAAATAAAGCGCAACTTTCTTTTAAAATGTTTTCCCGTAAGGACTTGAATCTATTTTAACTTGTTTGGAATAATTTTTTATACTGATTGTGGACACATTTAAATCTTAAACATTTTTATCATGTCACTTGAGAATATTGTAGAAATTCCAGTAGCAAATACACACACACATACACACACACACACAAATTCCCAATGTGGATCTTAGGAAAGAATTTACCCTTTCATGACCCAGTATTCAAAACAAAACTCAAGAAAGCAAGCACACTATATATACATTGCGCTTATAGGTCTCTAGCAGTAGCAGAGTGGTAGTATTTTTAACCACAAAGGTGTATATAAACTACTCTGATCATGTGGATATGAATCCATTCACAAGCACCAAAATGCACCTGTTTTCATGTAGTGACAGGTAATTTCCAATTTTCTTTTCTTGTTAATATCAAAATGTTCTCAGGGCTTATAGAGTGTATTCTGTGTAATCATTCAGTTCTATATAGCATGAGCGGGCACAGGTTTGATAAAGTAATATATATTTGAGTACATGCGTGTGTCTTATGAGAAACTAAGCACAGTATGCTAGGCATGCCGATAGCTGTCTGTGGAGCATTCTTTTCTAGATATCTCTGCATTTGGAAGGGCACAGAAAACTCATTTATACCCAGTTTGGGGTTACACTGTTAGGTGTCTTGGGAAGCTCATTTTTCTCTTCAATTTTTAAAAAATGGTAGTTAATTTGTATTAGTTCAGTAATTGCACCCCAGTAAGGAAGGGGTGGGAGGGAAGGGAAATGTGCTGGGTAATGGTTTGGAGAATTCATAGGCAGGTAATCAATGATCATAGGCACAGACCTCCAGATAAACTTGTACGATGAGTGAACTGTGAGCGTTTTCCTCAGGAGGGTGATCAGTGCAGCATCTTTGGGTCACACGAGCAAACCAGCTCATGCATTTTTTGTGTATGACTTTATCCATCATGTAGGTCATTGAAGAGGTGGCTCCAGTGTGTTGATATTAATCACTTAGAGCCAGGGTGTTTCAGTTGTCACTTAGCCTTGCTGCGGATAGTTTTAACTGCACATATGGAACATTATTTGTCATGCACTCTTCTGAGACCCCTAGAATGTCAGGACACAACAGATGATTAAAGGATTGAGAAGCAACCTTCACTCTGAATATCTTTGTCTTAAATTGTCAGATCAGGGTTTTAATGCAATTTGATGGTTTAGTTTTCTTTCACTTAAGTTTTATGGGCACATGCCAAAAATAATTTGTATAAAACTTCACCTGAAAAGTAGCCAGGAACAAGGGACGTGGAGTTAAAGTATAATCAAGCAAATGGTTTCTTCCTCACTCCCCACCTGATTTCTTCCCTTTTTTTTTCCCCCCATCCATGGGAGGATCTATTACTCAACCTAAGGCTTTTCTCACTCACCTTTATTTGGGATTAACTCTTCACACAGAGGGAGAGTACCCTCACTTTTTACTGATCTTATTTAAATATGATTCCCTGTTTCCTTCATTCCATTATTGCCTTCTATTCACAACAGTCTACGTGCATATAGCTTGTGTAGGATTCCTCAAGCTGAGCAACAAGTGAATTCCCGGAGCTACCTGCACATCCATTCCTCAGAAGCAAGACAGAATTCCCTGTTGACATATTGGAAAGTGTGTATTTTAAATATTTCTACAAACAGATATCTGGGTCCAAAAAAATTCAATACAATCATACCGAAAAGTGGATCAAATATCTATCTCACTATTACCAATTTTAAAAGAAAAAAGGAACAATATTTGTACTGCATTAAAACAAAATTGCAAAAATTTCTGAACCGAACAGCCAAGGAAGTGTGATTATCACAATGTGAGGCAACCCTGGAGCACGCGGGGACGTGGGGAAGCTGACGTGAGGGTCATCTACCTCAGCCTGGGAGGGGCCATTTTGCTGTTTCAGGCTGTTACCTGGAGAGCAGCAGGGAATGGAGAAGGGACACTTGGTCGGCCTCTGAGCTTCTCAATAAAGTTTAATCTCTTGCTTCCCTTTCCCTGTGGTTGGACAGCAACTGTGTAAAATCTTACATTTTTAAAAGGTCAGATTCCCTCCCCTGTTTAGAAAGGTTTTGACTCTCACTTGCCAGAGGCAGTATTAGGCCAAAAAGGTTCTCATGGTTCCTTCCAGCTCCTAAGTGCTGTTGATTCTTCATCTTCCTTAGTCTGTCTTTGTTATCTGTAAACTGGGAAAACTGATTTGTATTGGTTTGTCAAGTCTTAAAGAAAGGTTCTTCCTCCATCCAGGCTAAACATCTGGCAGTCTTTCCTTTACCCTCATGCTGTTGATTGC